TTGGCCATCGCAGAAACACACCAAAACTGCTGCTAATAAAAATGCTGTGGCCCACATAATCCTGTATAACACAGCCGATTATTAGACCAGTGAGCCAGTAGTACCAAACTTGTGGGTGTTTTAATAGCGGGGATTGGAACTGTGATGCATTTTTGTGGTAAGCTCTGCTGCTGCCGCTGGTGGCACATGCTGTTCAGTACGTACAGGTATCAGGATGGCTATACACTATTAGCGCAGCATTTGAAGAGTGCAGAATTTTTAGATCCACTGCTCCAGTCGTTTTAGTGTCATACATTAAAGCATTAATAAATACAATCTCAGGCAAAAAATAAAGCTTCCGGAAAACACGGTTTTGATTCGATTTCGCAATTGGGTCAACCACTCCCCCTACGATTCGTTCATTCGTTTCATTGGTACTGGTGCATGTTGGGGAGTCAAACTTGTCATCAGCTTGCTATTAAACAACCCTCGATGCGACCGAGTCATGCAATTGGCACTACCACTCAGACCACTTACCAGGAGCACTGCCTGTTAAAACAGCGAAAGCTAAGGGAGTTTTAATTTGCAACTTTGAAAAATTGTCCTAGCTCATGCTCCACTTTAACGGCATCTAGGCCACTTTTCGTAAATGGATTGCTAAAGGCATTTCTGTGTGTCAGATTTGCAAAATTTTTCATCATGGAAGGATTGTGCTTGGGCCAGTAAATTAACAAACAAACAAGAACTTCGAAAACAGAAGAACTCGGCGGAGTGCTAGCAGCAACATCAGTGAAGGAAGAAGTATTACTGGATGGAGGTGCTACCCAATGAATTCACGGATGCAGCGCAAGAAAGCGAGAACGATGCGGCTGAAACGCAAAAAACGCATTCGTTGATTCTGAAAAAGTGGGACCGCTATGTACCAATTCGTCTTTTATACCGGAATAATTTTGGTTTCGGGAAAAAATAACTACACAGCTAGTTTTGCCAATTGCTTCCAGGGCGTTCCATCAAGCAACGAACGAGGCGACACAGCAAAACAGCAGCAGCAGCAGCAGTACATTGCTGGGAGGCAAAAAAGTACAAGCGACCACATCACAGACGACATCAGGTAAATAAGTGCATAATAAGTGCTCGAACGAGAAGCATGTTCTTCAGGAACTTCCCTCCTTCTCGAGAGGGGAGAACAATTTGTATCTCGCTGGGAAATCGCCATCATTATCATTATTACCATCATCATCATCATTTTCTGCGCAATAGTAATTTTAACCTCTGTGACTTCTAGTCTTTACACTCAGCTAAGAAACAAACACATTTTTCAGCACTGCGTTATTTCCCGAACACCGATTCAGTCAAAACGACAATTTGCCTGTAACATAGAAAGTGACGAATTGCTTCCCATAAGACATTGATCTACAGCTTTTTTTTTTCTGCAAATTCAATTGACATTTCAAAAAATATGTCGAAAGAATTCGTTTCTCGTTTTCCGCGTTACTATTATTATTTTTGATATTATTACTTTTATTATTGTTGTTACCATCATTATCACTATCAACGCTGTAATTATTAGCAGCGACAACACCAATATCACCATAATCAAAGCCAACGACTGTAGTACAGTGCTATATTCGGCTTCTTCTACATTTCCGTTGCTCTGAAAGATAAAAGCATTTTGCTTGTGGCTCGGTGAAATATAGTATTGTAAGCTGCTACAGAAAAAAGGATTGTTTCGATGGCACCATATCCACCAACAACATCGAGCAGCTTTTGCCTGCTTGTCAACATTTTCCTCTCCGCAGATGAATGCTTGCCGAATAAGTTCGCCATCGACTCATTAATATGCATCAGAATCGCCAGCCAGAGAATGCACGCATCAAATTTAAACAGGCTAAAGCAATAATTCAGGAATAAAACAAGTTATTTTATCGGGCTGTGAAAGTTCAAGGGGATGAAACACAAACTGCTTCCTTCAAATGATTGACTGCTTCAAATGGAGCAGTCAAATGAAGGAACAGATCCAGAAATGACTAGAGCCTTCTTCAGTTGGAACAGCCACTTAGCTGTCAATTTTTTCCGGAGACGAAACGAACATCGGGTTCATTGAAAGGTTAATTATCAGGCAATGCACCACTGGTCAAAACAACTAGAAAAGCTGTCAGCTGCATAGTTGGAGAACCATACCATAAACTGCAGTATAAATTAGTTTGAGTATCCCAAAAGTGCGGCAATTTTTCTCTAAAGCAAATCTCACTTTTTAGGAAAATAAGGGTTGTTTCTGGAAGAGGGAATTTTAATTATGCATATTCCATCAAAAGCATTTTTCATTTTCCTATTCTATATCAGAGAGGATTTTGAGCTTGCTGTTGTCTGGAATATGATGGCCCTTTAAGGCAAATTGGCATAAATTATGGAAGGGCGGAGAAATACTTTGTGCGGATTCTAGCCCACAACTTGCTTTCGATCAAGAAAGATTGGCAGTGCTGGTGTTTGGCGAAATTCATTACTTCATTTGGTTTGCGAATGCTTTGAGTTTTTTAATAAAGTAACTGATTAAGAAGTCAAAAATCCAATCCTTTTCTACACGTGTTCCTTTGGCAGAATTGAACCCAGGAACGTGACAGTGGTGGTACTTGCATTATTTCGGCCAGTCTTTGATTGAGATTGTTGGCAGGGGCAAAAAATCAAAAATTTACTTATAAAAAACTAAAACCTCAACATACACTCGATAATCAGATTTAGGACAGCTTCAGCACTTTTTGGTTCTCAATACTTTGTTCTTAAGTAGTCAAAATTTGCGAGCCGCAGAATGAAGCTCGAGCCACTGAAAGAAGTTCTCAAGCGCCAAATCCCGGTCGATGTTGGCAAAGCAATCCCGATGCTGGTGTACGAGCTGGATCATCCAAAAAACTGTGGCAAACCCTGGATTGGGGCTTACTCTGCGCATGGTTTCTGGTATAAATTTTTTGATGGGACCAATGAAGACTTTGAAAAGGTTAGTCTTATATCAATCCAGTCCCCCTTACCTCATCCTCAGCCACAGAAATACCGCGAAAAAGGCACGCATATATTGAAGTAATTGATAAAATTTAAAAAACACACTAGGTGAGCACAGGGTCAAGTTGCTTGACAGGTGTAGCACCAGAAGAAAAAGGGAAAGTACTGTGACTACACGAGACGACGGAAAGCAGCCAAATTTTCTTATTTCCAGAAAACGAAAAACTGAGCTGGCCGCCCAGCTTAATTGGAGATGTTATATCGAAAAACTACCGGTCACGGACTCCTTTCTCCACTCAGGGAGAATCTCGCCAATTGCCAACCCCTCCCATCTCGGATCAACGATATCCTATCAATTACCATTAATAAAATAACGCTGACCCCAAGGGCAGGAGGAACCCACAAGGTCGACGACAGCTTGTGCTGAACCGACACCAAAAAACAACAACAAAATCGTTGCCCCCAACGATAGTAGGTAGCGCGTCACATCCGAATGTGAAAAGGAATGATTCGACTCCTAGGCTAATTCCATGCTAGCCCGTAATGATTTATAAAGAGGCGCCACTTGTGAGAACTGCTTCAACAAAAGGGCTATTTATCACAGAACTGTGAAGCTTGAATGGTGCGATCAATCTCTTTACGATTCGTTCGTTCGTTTTGACTCTAAATAGGCATCGCACCGGAGAGCCCAATCCGCCATCAGCCCGCGGAAATGAAAATCAGTGACATCCTTTCTAATGAGTGGTTGCTGTTAGCATTTGCTATCGCTCGGACTACTTCCCGATTGTTTGTGCTTCTCACAGAGAATGAATGCGACAGAAGTCTTAACTTTTATCTTTTGACTTGATTCTGAATTATATCAATGTATGCAACTGTATAGTTACGATGAACTACAATTCATAGAGTGATTTTTCAGCCAAGAACCTAGCGATTTTTCAAGTACTAAGGCACCATCGCTCTTCCATTTGCCTGCTGATCATCCTGGCGTTCGTTTCTCCTGAAAGGATTACCAACTGAACACTTCGGGCAGAACACTTGAAAATATTTGGAGAGGCTCTCCTTGTCTTTTTGGCTGGGCTAAAAACACAGTTTTTCTTTTCAGGCTGTTGCGATGTCTTTTGAAAGTGATGGATACAAGCTAAATTACGAATCGTTGAAAGTGTGGAAAGATATTTTTGCTGACAATTTCCGTTTTATTGTTGCCAAAAATCTAAGTAATTGGATTTTTGCTTTGCGCATCTGTTGGAAAAAATTTTTATCATTACGTCTCCTAAAAAAATTTTCCATCAATAGTTCTTTGGTCGAACCTTTTCGCCGAATACTGGTTGCTGGTGAAAAATGATACTTTGTGAAACGACGCTTTCTACAAGTGACGAAGGCTTGAACGGGTTGCTTAGGCAGTGCAGGCAAGATTGGAAGACATGAAGAAGTTCCTGTTTCTTATTTCTGTAGATGTTGTGAGTGAGGTTGTTGATAAGCAGATGGTTCTGCTGATGAATAAGCACGGTCTTCATTTGCTGACAAGGACCTTATAAGATGTGACCTAGACCAAGAAATGGTACAATACTCTCGTTTTTAATGACGTCCCAGATGTCTAGTGAAAGAGATAACGCTCAAAAGAGATGGATCCGGTTAGCAGAAAGAGAAACTGCATTACTTTGATTCTTTGATCAACAGAATTCACAATGTCTCCTTCA